TGGAGTGTCAAAAGTTGGCCTCTTATGGACTAAAGTAATTGTTGGGAATGTAAATATACTATGTAACAGCACAATCCTATGCATGTCTACTCTGAGGTGAACCTTACTGAATTCAGTGGGATCTGTTACCAGTTAAGCATGAATAGGATTCATTGCAGCCTCAGTCACACTGAGATATATAAGATATATGAAATCCAGATGATTACCATTTGATATGTTGTGTTGCTGACTTTAGATACTATGTTCACAGATTCATAAATGTGTGTTACTAGAACTTATATGTTTTCTATATGTTTTTAACAGAGAAGGGAAAATAGTAAAATGAAGTTTATTCTGTTGTAGAATATTGTCGGCATAAAGCTCCTCCTCATCAGTGGAATTGTGGATATGATTTCAGTTCCAAACATCAGGGTATGGCAGAAGTACCAATATCTGAGGGAAGAAGGAAAAGACATTTAAGTGAAACAGTGGTTGGTAAGTTTCTTTTAATATACATTAGAAAAAAAAGTGAGTAAAAATGATTGATCTAACTGAAAGGATAGCATTGCATTTAGAGGAAACAGTATTTCCACTTTCATTTAGGAAGCCCTGCCTGCTCATACCCCAGGAATGGGCACCTCATGACCCTTCAAAAGTTTTGGGGATAATTTCAGTTATTCCTCACTGCTGGTTAGTGCTGGTTGTATGGGCTAAGTTAAAAGTAGCCACTGCCATCCCCAAAATATTATATACCAGTGCTAGGAGTAGACAGCCCTTTTGAAAAGTACTATCATATGTCCCCTCAGTCTTCTCTTCTCAAGGTTAAACGAATCTGGTTTGTTATATCTGTGCATTGGATTTCTTGTTCTAAATGAAGAACTCTGCACCTCTTTCTTTTAAATTTCGTTCTGTTCTTTTCTGTCCTGTTTTCTAATCTATCAAGATTATTTTGAATTTCATTTCTGTCATCTAAGGCATTAGCTATCCCACCGAATTCTGCATCTTAGGGTCTAGATAGGAATTATGGGAAAATGCAGTGTTCCTTCATGTAACCTCTTGTAATTGTGGACCATCCAGAGGTGCTGTGGCACAATTGGGCAGCATACAATTTTTTTAAAATGAATAAATAAAAATAACCTGGTCCCAAGCTATTTAGATCTTTGAGTCTTAATACCAGCACTTCAAATTGAGTACAAAAATGGACTGACTGTTAGTACAGATGAAAAAATATTGATCACACTGGCCAGTTCCCAGTAAGAATCTTGCTGCCATATTTGAGACCATCTGAAGTTTCAGGACCATTTTCAAAGGCAGCCCCATGCATTGCAGTGATCCAGTCCAGAAATAGCCAGAGCATAAATAACTGTAGTTAGAGTATCTTTGCTGAGATAAGGATAATGCTGATATGTTTAATGATGATGATTACATTGCATTTATATGTAGCCCTTTTTCCTTCTGAGAGGAACCCAAGGTGGCTTATGTAGCCCTCCTCTGTACCATTTTATTCTCACAATAGCAACCCTATGAGGTAGGTTTGGTTGACTACCCCAAAGTCACCCAGTGAGCTTCATGACTGAATGAGCACTAGAACCTGAATCTTCCAGATATTCAGTCCAACCGCTTAACTATCATTCTACACTGACTGTCATTTAACTTAAGCTAATAAAAAGTGGTCTGTGGCACCAAATTCACCTGTCACTGTAGTGATAATGTTTAGATCCAAGAGTACCTCCAAAATACGAACCTGATAATTTAGGGGAGTGCAACCTTCCTGCACTCCAAGATCACCACAGACAGGGACTGCAGCCAAGAAATTAAAAGACGCTTGCTCCTGGGGAGGAAAGCTATGGCAAATCTAGACAGCATACTAAAAAGCTGAGACATCACCCTGCTGACAAAAGAGCGTATAGTCGGGGCTATGGTTTTCCCAGTTGCAATGTATGGCTGTGAAAGCTGGAGTTCCTCTCTTCTGGAGATGGTTGTTGTTCTTGTTAGTCACGAAATCGTGTCCGACCGATCGCAACCCCATGGACAACATTCCTCCAGGCCTTCCTGTCCTCCACCATCCCCCGGAGTCCACTCAAACTCACGCCAACTGCTCCAGTGACTCCATCCAGCCACCTCATCCTCTGCCGTCCCCTTCTTCTTTTGCCCTCAATCGTTCCCAGCATTAGGCTCTTCTCCAGGGAGTCCTTCTGGTCTCATTAAGTGATCAAAGTATTTCAGTTTCATCTTCAGTATCTGGCCTTCTAAAGAGCAGTCAGGGTTGATCTCCTCTAGGACTGACCGGTTTGATCGCCTTGTGGTCCAAGGGACTCGCAGGAGTCTCCTCCAGCACCACAATTCAAAGACCTCAATCCTTTTGTGCTCAGCCTTCCTTATGGTCCAGCTTCCACAGCCATACATTGCAACTGGGAAAACCATATCCTTGACTATACGCATTTTTGTTGGCAGGGTGATGTCTCTGCTTTTTAGTATGCTGTCTAAATTTGGCATAGCTTTCCTCCCCAGGAGCAAGCGTCTTTTAATTGCTTGGCTGCAGTCCCTGTCTGCGGTGATCTTGGAGCCCAGGAAAATAAAATCTGTCATTACCTCCATTTCTTCCCCATCTATCTATCTATCTATCTATCTATCTATCTATCTATTTAAAACATTTCTATGCTGCCCCATTCGCCGAAGCCTCGGGGCGGCTCACAACATAAATTAAAATATAATACATTAAAAATATAAAACAAATTAACAATATAGAATAAGTCACCCTGGCCAGATAAAATAAGCAAATAATATTAACAATTAAAATGAGGTTTAAATAAAAAGGTCTTCGCCAGGCACTGAAAAACAAATAACGACGGCGCCAGGCGAACCTCTCTGGGGAGCGCATTCCATAGATTGGGCGCCACCGCAGAGAAAGCCCTCCTCCGAGTACCTACCCTCCTAATTTCTTTCACGGAGGGTTCCCGGAGAAGGGCCTCTCCCGCAGATCTCAAGGGGCGGGCGGACATATATGGATGTAAGCGCTCCTTCAGGTAACCAGGACCCAAGCCGTTTAGGGCTTTATAGGTCATCACCAACACCTTGAATTGGGCCCGGACTTCAAAGGGAAGCCAGTGAAGCTGACGGCGGACTGGAGTCATGTGAGCACAACACCCCGTCCCCATCAGCAGCCTGGCAGCTCTATTTTGAACCAATTGAAGTATCCGGACCGTCTTCAAGGGTAGCCCCACGTAGAGCGCGTTACAGAAGTCAAGGCGGGAAGTCACCAGCGCATGTGTCACTGTCGCCAGGCAGTTGTACTCCAGGTAGTGGAATACCTATTTGCCAGGAAGTGAGAGGACCGGATGCCATGATCTTAGTTTTCTTAATGTCGAGTTTCAAGCCAACTTTTGCATTCTCCTCGCTCACCCGCATCAAGAGGCTCTTTAGTTCCTCTTCATTTTCTGCCATTAGAGTGGTATCATCTGCATATCTGAGGTTGTTGATATATCTCCTGGCTATCTTAATTCCAATTTGTGATTCATCTAGCCCCGCCTTTCTCATGATGTGCTCTGCATAAAAGTTAAATAGGCAGGGCGACAGTATACAGCCTTGCTGAACTCCTTTCTCAATTTTGAACCAATCAGTGGTTCCATGTCCAGTTCTCACTGTTGCTTCTTGACCCAATATAGGTTTTTCAAGAGACAAATAAGATGGTCTGGTACTCCCATCTCTTTAAGAACTTGGCACAATTTGTTGTGATCCACACAATCAAAGGCTTTAGCATAGTCAGTGAAGCAGAAGTACATGTTTTTCTGGAACTCCCTAGCTTTCTTCATGATCCAGCGTATGTTGGCAATTTGATCTCTAGTTCCTCTCCCTCTTCGAAATCCTGCCTGTACTTCTGGTAGCTCTCGGTTCGCATACTGCTGGAGACTAGCTTGTAGAGTTTTGAGCATATCTTTGCTAGCATGTGAAATGAGTGCAATGGTGCGGTAGTTTGAACATTCTTTGGCATTGCCCTTCTTTGGGATCAGAATGTAAACTGACCTTTTCCAATCCTGTGGCCACTGTTGAGATTTCCAAATTTGCTGACATATTGAGTATAGCACTTTTACTGCATCAACTTTTAAGATTTTGAATAGCTCAGCTGGAATACTGTCACCTCCACTGGCTTTGTTGTTGCTCAGACTTCATAAGGCCCATTTGACTTCACATTCCAGGATGTCTGGCTCGAGGTCAGTGACCACCCCATCGTGGTTATCAGGGACGTTAAGCTCTTTCTTGTATAGTTCTTCTGTGTAATCTTGCCACCTCTTCTTAATCTCTTTTGCCTCTGTTAGGTCTCTGCCATTTTGGTCCTTTGTCATGCCCGTCTTTGCATGAAATGTTCCCTTCATATCTCCAATGTTCTTGAAGAGATCTCTGGTCCTCCCTTTTCTATTGTTTTCTTCTATATCTTTGCACTGTTCATTGAAGAAGGCATTCTTATCTCTTCAAACTATTCTCTGGAATTCTGCATTCAATTGGGTGTATCTTTCTCTTTCTCCCTTGCCTTTCACTTCCCTTCTTTCCTCAGCTATTTGTAAAGCTTCCTCAGACAGCCATTTTGCTTTCTTGCATTTCTTTTTCTTTGGGATGGCTTTAGTTGCTACCTCTTGTACAATGTTGCGAACCTCCATCCATAGTTCTTCAGGCACTCTGTCAGATCTAATTCCTTAAATCTATTTGCCACCTCTACTGTATATTCATCAGGGATAAGATTTAGGTCATACCTGAGTAGCCTAGTGCTTTTCCCAACCTTCTTCAATTTAAGCCTAAATTTTGCAACAAGAGGCTCATGATCTGAGCCACAGTCAGCTCCTGGTCTAGTGTTTACTGACTGTATAGAGCTTCTCCATCTTTGGCTGCAGAGCACATAGTCAATCTGATTTCTGTGTTGACCATCTGGTGATGTCCATGTGTAGAGTCGTCTCTTGGGTTGTTGGAAAAGAGTGTTTGCTATGAACATCGTATTCTCTTGACAAAATTCTACCAGCCTGTGCCCTGCTTCATTTTGTACTCCAAGGCCAAACTTGCCTGTTATTCCAGTTATCTTTTGGCTTCCTACTTTAGCATTCCCAGTCCCCCATGATGGTAAGGACATCATTTTTGGTGTTAATTCTAGAAGGTGTTGTAGGCCTTCATAGAACTGGTCAACTTCAGCCTCTTCAGCATCAGTGATTGAGGCATAGATTTGGACTACTGTGATGTTGAATGGTTTTCCTGGGATTCAAACTGAGATCATTCTGTCATTTTGGAGATTGTATCCCAGTACTGCTTTTCCTACTCTTTTATTGACTATGAAGGCTACTCCATTTCTTCTGAGGGATTCTTGCCCGCAGTAGTATACCTGATGGTCTTCTGAATTAAATTCACCCATTCCTGTCCATTTTAGTTCACTGATTCCTAAGATGTCGGTGTTCAGTCTTGTCATCTCATGTTTGACCACGTCCAGCTTGCCTTGATTCATGGATCTTACA